GTCGTAACTTAGGCGAGGGGAGTGAAGCCGAAATGCGGGGGGAGAGTCCGCCTGGTTCACTCTTATTGGTCTCAACTCATCCCCTCCCACAGCAAAAGCATAGGGATACTCGGTCTATTATATATGTGTGTATCACATGGACACAAGAACTTATATCATTGCACTTGCGCAAACTAACAGGCCAATCAAATTCAGGTGGACGTTTACCTCATCGCATCGTCCCGCAGTGGCTTCCCCCCCGCAACACTATGCTCTGTCCTCTTATATTCCTATGTCCATGATGGGGATAGAGTCTATCCCCACATGCCTAGCAGCGCGGCGAGATACGACTGGCACGACCGCCCCACCGCTGGTATTCAGCAGTGGGCCGGACGGATACGCGTTTATTCGTCAATCTTCAAAAATTAATATCTCGTTAACAATTGCGAATTTTGCAAAATGGTAGAGGACTTTTCTGTTCAGTTTAATCTGCTTTACCAGCCCACGAGATTTTAGGCGGTTATTACTGGACACCCTGTATATAAGAATAGGCAACCGATGCGTTCACCAGGACCTGATGAGGGCGAGGAGGAAGGAGGTGCCCTCTGTGTGTTTTCCGGTAATAGCTCCGTATGGAGCACTGTAAGGAGCAAGGAAGAAAGAGAAAGAAGGTGAAGGGAAACCAAAATGCAAAAGAGACAATTCTTTTTGAAACCGAAGCCTGCGGAGGCGCGAAGGAAGAAAGGGCCTCAGGAGCTCAGAAATCCGGAAGACAAGATTGCGCAGGTGAAGACAACCGCAGTGGCGATTACATGCGGAGGACTAGGGGCTTACCTATGTGGAAGCTCTCTGTAAGGCGAGGGAAAAGATCTATTTTTTTGGAGGATCTTAGATATCAATTTGCGTGAGGCAAGCGGTTTCCAGGGGTCTCATCATTATTACTTATTAGGTAAAGATATGGGAGACAAGGCAGATCATCTCATCAAGGCAGATCAGGCGCAACGATTGAGAAAGACGCTGAAGATCGAGGATGAGAAAACCAATCAGAAGGGCCGAGTTACGCCTTATAAACTCGGATAATCTGGGAACGTCTCAGGAGATTAGACGGGCTATCTCCAGGCTAAGAGATATGAAAGAAGATAGTATTAGGATAGGCCAGCTAAGGGCCCACAGGAATGACTTCTGATCCACTGTGATGCAGTGTCCGCTTAAGTATGCGGTTAAAATAGCGAAGAATCTCAAGTTGCTTATAGGGTGAACAATAGCGAAGGTGGAAATTATGAAGACTTTGCAATGTTTCCACTGTCTGACGGTGGGACATGTTAGGCAGAGATGTCCATTGGAACCGAAACATACTCTGCCACGACTGTGGATAAAGCGGACATAAGTTAAGGGAATGCAGGAGTAAGCCGCGGTGCTCTGTCTGTGTGCACAGGAGCTTAGTGACAAACCACAGGGCCGACAGCGAGATGTGCCCTCCGGTGCTTCCGGACAGTCCAAAGAGTAAACGGAATAAGACGGTGAAGAGGACTGTCCCAAAGGTGGAGAAACTGAACGAAGATGGCGAGGCTGATTCAAATAAATGTTAATTTGAGTATCTCGGAGGTCTATACTGTTAAAGACTATGGAGGAGAAGCATGCGAGCATCTCGGTTATTGCGGAACCGTATTGGGCGTTGGAAAATCCAAGGTGAATGGAGTTAACATGATGATCCGCCTATGACAGCGAGGAGCCTGTAATCGCGTGAGCCCCTGTATATTGCGTTCTGTAGGGGGCCGGAGATACGTAGCGATCCGGTGGGGGAGGATCGTGGTTATTAGCACGTACTTCTCTCCCATCAGACATGTGCTAAGACAGACTTCGCTGATCATCTTGGAAAAATTAGGTGTGGTGATGGCGAACTACAAACG